AGGGGTTGGAAGGGACCTCCAGAGATCATCGAGTCCAACCCCCTGCCAAAGCAGGTTCCCTACAGCAGGTCGCACAGGTAGGCATCCAGGCAGGTCTTGAACATCTCCAGAGAAGGAGACTCCACCACCTCCCTGGGCAGCCTGTTCCAGTGCTCCATCATCTCACTGTAAAGAAGTTCTTGCGCACATTCATGCAGAACTCCCTATGCTGCAGCTGATGTCTGTTTCCCCTTGTCCTGTCTCCATGTACCACTGAGAAGAGACTGGCCTCACCACTATGGCTGCCACACCTCAGATACTTATAAACCTGGATCAGGTCCCCTCTCAGTCCATCTTTTCTCAAGGCTGAACAGACCCAGTTCACTCAGCCTTTCTTCATAGGAGAGATGCTCCAGGCCCTCACCATCTTTGTGGCCCTCTGCTGGACTCTTTCCAAGAGATCCCTGTCTTTTTTGTACTGGGGAGCCCAGAACTGTACGCAGTGCTCCAGATGAGGCCTTACCAGGGCAGAGTAGAGGGGGAGGATCGTCTCCCTCGACCTGCTGGCCACGCTCTTTTTAATGCACCCCAGGATGCCATTGGCCTTTTTGGCCACGAGGGCACACTGCTGGCTCATGGCCAACCTGTCGTCCACCAGGACACCCAGGTCCCTCTCTGCAGAGCTCCTCTCCAGCAGCTCATCCCCCAGCCTGTACTGGTGCATGCAATTATTCCTCCCTAGGTGTAAGACTCTACACTTGCTTTTGTAAGTACATTTGTGTACATTGTTGACTCCCTTCTACACACTTCTATAGACACAGCTTAACCTCACATGATTGGCCTCAGCACAGACATCCAGCTTATCCAGATCCTTCTGTAGGGCCTTTCTACCCTCAGGCAAAGCAATGCTTCCTCCCAGCTTGGTGTCATCTGCAAACTTACTGAGTGTGCACTCAATCTCCCTGTCCAGATCATCAATAAAGATATTAAACAGGGCCAGCCCCAGCACTGCTGCCTGGAGAACACCGCTCCTGACCACTCCATTCACCACCATTCTCTGGACGTGGCCATAGGAGCCAATTCTTTCACAGGAGATTCACAGTGTTAGCATTGAATCACAGAATGGTTTGGGTTGGAAGGGACCTTAAAGCCCACTCAGTTCCGTGGGCAGGGACACCTCTCACCAGACCAGGAGCCCAAAGCCCCATCCAGCCCTGCACGGATGGGGCATCCACAGCTTCTCTGGGCCTCACCACCCTCTGAATAAAGAATGTCTTCTCTTTGTCCAATCTACTTTCTTTTTGTTTAAAACCATTACCTGCAGTTGTCCTATCTCTAAACAGCTTGGTAAAGAGTCCACAGCCAGTTTTTTTTTTGCAAATCTCCTATGAAAGGCAACAATAATTTCACCCCGGAGCCTTTTCCAGACTGAACATCAACTCCCTCAGTCTTCCTTCATAACAGAGGTCCTCCAGCCCTTTGATCAGCTTTGTGGTCTCCTCTCCACCTGCTCAGGGCTCCAAGACGAATGCAGTGCTCCAGGTAGGAATACCATGTTACCATGGCACAGTATTTTGTAAGACCACAGAAAAGGAAAAACCACCATGGAATACAATGCTATTCTACTCCTCCTTGCCAAGTGCCATCTCCTCTGTGCCACTCAAAGTAGTTCCTAAATTCCATACTGTCACACAGTGATCCAGCCAGCACCAATAGACTGGCAGGCACTTCTCTTCTGTAAGTAACCATCCATAACCACAGAATGGCCAGGGTTGGAAGGGACCTCAAGGATGATGAATCTCCAACCCCCTGCCACACGCAGAGCCACCAACCTCCACATTCAATACCAGACCAGGCTGCCCAGGGCCCCATCCAACCTGCCCTTGAACACCTCCAGGGACGGGGCATCCACAGCCTCTCTGGGCAGCTGTTCCAGCACCTCACCACTCTCTCTGTAAAGAACTTCCCCCTGACATCCAACCTTAATCTTCCCTCCCTCTACTTAAAACCATTTAAAACCAATGCACTTGATCACTTGCTATGATTTTTCAATGTTTTCCTTTTCCTTTCCTTTTTTTTACTGTTTTCAATTAATTGATTCCTATTTCTGGGTAGGCATGAAAAATTAATAAGCAATCACAACTAACTTGTAAAAACAAACAGAACTTAAAACAACAACAAAAGAAATAAAATACAAACCAAAACCAAAAACTAAGTAACTAAGTACTAAGAGTACTAAAAAAAGAACTAAAAAAAGATAAATTACAATTATGGATAATAGGTAAAGGTGTAATAGGGATAAAATACCAGATAACAGCCAGCTATATGAAACAAGAAAGTACCTGGTGAGAAATATCAAAGGACAATGAGTTTTTTGAACTCTGTGGTGCACATTAGCTTTCTGTTTTCCTGTCATGCTGATTACAGAGTTTATTGATTTGTACTCCAGCCTTTCATTATACCAGAGTGTTGTTTTTGTTGTATCTACAAGTCTGGAGACCATAACAGAATCACATCAAGATAAAGGAACAACTGAAATTAAAAAAAAGTCATGTTGGCAAGGAGCCACTATAAAAAACTATTAAAAATTAAATTCAGGATCACTTTGACATGATAGTTGCAATGAAACACTTGAAAACATTTCAGTGAATGCAACTTATATTTTTAAACCAGTATCACAGAAATTCTAAAATCTTATCTACCTTCTCTGTACACCCATTTGACTAAATTAGTGATATTATTTTCTGCAAATACTTCTAAATTGATTTTTAAAGTGCTTTGAATTAGTTATCTTAACTAAACACAGACTTGAATACCTTGATTTAAAAGTCAGTGAAAGTTTATACATATACTAAATAGCTAAACCTTTGCAGGCACTTTCATAGAACCACTTTGTCCTTTCCTGAGGCTTCTCTAGCATGCTAGTGTGCTTTGTATGACGAGCTTAATCAGGAAGGGCGTTTTGCCTTTGGAAAAGTCCTATAGTTTAAATCCCAAGGACATAAGAGAAGGAACATTTCAGTACATTTTCATTTGTTAATGGAGTATTGCTAATTATGAGAAAAGTGGCTGAACCTGCATTTCAAGAGATTAAAATATTATACAGGTGCATTGCCTGAAAATTATTACTTTTTCCCTAAAGCAGCCTTAGTAAAAGCAATGAAAAAGGGAACAATTTCATGAGAAAAATGGAAAACTTCAAATATTGTGAAGTCACAGTTCTCAAACTTACCTGATTTTCAAAGCACTTTGCTGTTTGCTGTTCATGTTTGGAACTCATGGGGAGTAACTGTCATTACTGGATTACTGTAGCTTTAGCAAAGCTTCAAGCACAGAATTCAAGAGTATCAGAAAAGTAAACTGAGTAACAATAACCTTATTTTAACAGTGGGCAAATGTGACTGATTTATGCACACAGCAGAGTTCGGAATCCTGAAATTCTAGTTCAGAGTTTGTGAGCAAGACACACAATACCTGTGGGGCCACATAACTGCCTAAGTAATATGCTTTACATGATGACTGACCTGCAGGGCCATCTAGTCCAAAATAAACAACATCCTTGGACAATGCTTTCCCTCACAATATCAGAGCAATTTGAACAAAAGTTTAGTCAGGCATTGGAACAGGCTGCAATGGGTTGAAAGCTAGACTAGATGATTTCAGAGGTCTTTTCCAACATCGATGATACCATGAAAATCCTTAGCTGCCTGGACAGTTTTGGGAGTTCATGGGACCTTTGGGGGTCCTACATACAAATATAACATCAAGTGTCTACTTTGTGCAGCCTACTTTGTCTCACCCCATTCCCAGCAGTGGGCCATTATGGGCACTGGAGCAGAAGGCATAATATATATTGTAAGGGAAATGGGGCTAAACCATCTGAGTATGGGAGGTCTGTACATTGCCCTGAAAGGCGGTTGTACCAAAGGTGGGCATCGGCCTCTTCCCCCAGGTAATAGCAGTTAAGATGAGTAGCAATGGCCTGAAGCTGCACTGGGGGAGATTCAGGTTGGATTTTTTAAAAAAAAATAATCTCAGAAAGACAGGTGATGAAGTGGCACAGGGTGGTGGAGTCACCATCCCTAGAGATGTTCCAGAACTGCAGAGATGTGGCACTGAGGGACAGGGTCAATGGGCGTGCTGGGACAGGTAGAGACTAGACCTTAGTTAGACCTTTTCCAACCTTAATGATTCTGTGAGTTATCTCCACGTACAGTGCCACACGTAAGTTTTCCAGCCCAGCCTCTGAGTTCAGGTTAATTTTGACACCCTTACAACAAACACAAACTTGTTCTCTAACCCCAGGCCCACACAGACACGCTTACCCTGCACACAGCAACCATCACACCCGGCTCTTCCCCGGCACCTCTCAGCGCTTGGAAAGGCCCCCCAGCACTGACAGGAACCTCTGCCCCTTTTGCTTCACAAGCAGAAAGGTTGCGGGTGAAAGGGTCTGACAGGTGAAAGGATAAAAAGGAGAAGCAGGTACCTAAGCACCAGCACTTCTCAAGGTGCAAAACAGGCAAACGAAGAGCAGAAGGCACAGCGTGCCACCGAGCGACCAAACACCGCGCACGAACACACACAAGTGAGGGCAAAGCCCTAAAATGGCGGGCGGGGCTTGGCTTCACCACGTGACCTCCCACTTCCCGTCTCAGCGTAGGAATCTCCCGGAAGCCGGCAGCAGCACAGGGCGTTACAGAACCCCGCCCCGTTAACTGCCCTCCCTAAGGGGAGCGGTGCGCCTCGCTCTTCCTACGGGCCGCTGCCAGCGGGTGAGCTGCAGCCCAGCTGCCCCTCAGAGCGGGCTCTGGGTCCGTGGTGGGCTGGGACAGCTGTTGGTAGGGCTCGCTGTCCCCCTCAGCCTGAGCGCCGAAGCCCGCGTTCGAGCGTAGGGCTCAGGTGGGTGCCTCCCCTCACGCTGAGGTACCGTACGGCCTCCCCGGGCCTCGCCCTTCTGTCAGCGTGGTGCTTTGGAGGCACCCAGCAGTGACAGCGCTGGGAATCGCCCCCTGCGGCACGGGGGTGGGGGTGTCGGTGCTGTCAGGGAAGGGGTGAGCCGGGTGTGTGCTGAGGGTGGCCCGGGGTTGCTGCTGGCTGCCCGTTCTGGCGCTTAGCTTCTCTATCGCCCCTGGAGCCTTCAGTGAGCATTAAATCGGTGCTGTAGGGAGCCTTGCTTATGCTCTTTATCCAGTCTGTTTTATTACTAGGCTGCTCAGAATCCTTCCTTCAACAATTTGGCTTTCAAACCTGCATTTGTTTTCCTGAGCCTAGCTGGTTCAAGTGACATCTGTGTGGCAAAAAGCTCAGTCTGGTGTTCAGAGCAGCCTTTGGTAAATCCTCATCAGTTGTTTTGAGTTTTTGGAGAGCCCCTGTGAAAGTGAAACCATCTCAGGGATGCTTGTGGGATTGTCACTCATAAGTTCTTTTGAAGGATTCTCTTGCCATTTACTTAAGGTGAAATGGTAATTCATTATGAATGTTAAAGTTTTTTAACAGCTATATCTGTGTTATTATTTGTGGAAAGGAAAATGTTCTTTTTATGGAGGCTTGATAAGGGTAAGTTTAATTGGAGACTTTGGTGTTGCTTCCTGGTTCTATAGATGAGCAGATTTACAAAACTGTGAAGTACCAATCTGATAAGAAGGTGAATGACCAGCTTCCAAGTGTCACCTGTATAATTTGTGGACTTAAAGTGTCTAGATGCCTTAAAATAAAGGATATTCTTTTGTTTCTGAAGTTATCGTTAAGTGGAAATATAGTGATGGTTTGGTTGTTCAGCACATTCTGAAAATTGCAAAAAAATGATTGTATTTCAGCCTGGAGAAAAGAAGGCTGCAAGGTGACCTCATTGCTGCCTTTCAGTACCTGAAGGGAGCCTACAAACAGGAGGGGAGTTCAGCTCTGTGAAAGGGTAGATAACTGCAGGACAAGGGGAAATGGTTTTAAGTTGAGGGAGGGGAGATTAGGTTGGATGTCGGGGGAGTTTCTTTACCATGAGAATGGTGAGGTGCTGGAACAGCTGCCCAGAGGTTGTGGATGTCTCATCCCTGGAGGTGTTCAAGACCAGGTCGGATGGGGCCCTGAGCAGCCTGGGCTGGTATTGAATGGGGACATTGGCAGCCCTGCCTGTGGAGTGGAGGGGTTGGGGGTTGAGGGGGGAAGGGTTGGAGCTTCATGATCCTTGAGGTCCCTTCCAACCCAGGTCATTCTGTGATTCTGTGATATAGGATTTATGTGATGTGTTTTGGGGGAAAAAAATGGGAAAACTGCACTTTAATACCATCTTTTGGAAACTGGATATGTTTGTTCCTTTCTGCTTGCAAATGTCATCTTTTGTTTTGGCCCTGAAGTAATAACAGCATCTCAGTGAGAAGAAGAATGTGTGTTTTCTCACCTGGTTTGATCAGACACTGTGTGAACTACAGGAAACAAACTGGAAGGGTTTTTGAAGCACCTGCTGCTCAGCTGTCGTGGCCTTTTGCTAGCAGAGTCTTTATGGCATTCAGAGATTCTTTGTATCTCACCAAAACTGCAGTTGAGATAAGATTAACTGATATGCTTAACTGACTTTTTCTTTTTTTACCTACATTGTTTTGCTCATTAAGTGTGCCATTCTGAACAAGGAACAGCCTTTGAATCTGGACACAAGGGCCAGATTGAAGAATTCTGATTCTTCTCTTTTTTCCCCTCATTTTCTTGAGAGCTCTGTGCTGATAAACAAGAACAAGAAAAAATGAACTCACTGTTAAAGAAAAGTGACAGTTTAATCAGTTTTCAATGCCCGCAACTTAAATGTCTTTCTATATAAATTAACAGACATCTCCCATATGATTCCTGGTGTGCAAGAGCCAAGTCATAAGTAAATAGATTTTTCATGTGATATTTCATCACTGCGATAGCAGGGTTTTGCAGTACCTTTTCATGAGAGTTTTAAATGTGGCTTCTTGCCAAATGATTGAGATCTGAGAGGGGAGGCATGGATCTTGGCACTGATTTCATTTGCTGGAGGGATGAGGACGTTGTGTTATGGTCTTCTCATGGGGAAGCTTGTGGGACTGAGATGTTTCTTCTTGACATCTCTTTCCTGTCTTCCAAAAGAGTCATAACTTGTGTTCAACCAGTGGCTGGTGGAGAAAAGCAGGAAGGCAGAGGCATAGCACAGACACATTTTGCAGAGGGATTGGAATGAGCAGCTCTTTCCAGGGCAGGAAAGAATAGTTTTGTCATGGATTTTGAAGAATCAATGTGTTCTGCAATTGTAGCTTATATGAGAGGTTAGGAAGAGATTTCCTGCCACAAAATACTAAATTGGGGGGGTTCCTGAATTGTCTATGTTCCAATTTTTGATAGTAGTTTTGTTGTTAGGTTCCCTTCCCCATCAAAATGTGTTTCATACTCAATGGTACTTTTTGCTTGTTTGCTTTTCTTTTAAAGAATGGCACAAAAGAAATATTTGATAGCAAAGCTGACAAGTTGCTTAAGAGAAGACAAAATTCAGCTGTGGAAACCACCGTATACAAATGATAAAAAAGAAGCTGGTGAAGAGATGAAGGTAAATGTTCCATCTGAGCTGGTGTCATGTGTCCTCCAGTCGTATTACTGGTGCATTTCGCCAGATTTTTCTTGCTGTTTTCTTAGGAGCTTGTCCAAAAATATTCATCCAAGCTGAAAATCAATCAGAATGATGCAGAGAATATGCTGGAAGAAATACGGTGTAAAGCAATTGAGCGTGGAACAGGAAATGAAAATTATAAAATGACTGGGATTGCAAGACTTGATATACATCTGCCTCGGAGGAAAGTAAGCGATGTTGGAGAAAAGCTGGGAGAAGTAACTTTACTTTATGGCCTTCTGAGTTCTAGTTATACATCCAGTGCAAACGTGTTCTTCCTCAACTTCTTTGGGTGCTTTGCATGATGAATCTGTGTTTGATATTAAAAAAATAATAATGCTGGAGGTGGGGAGGGAGAAGAAGTTATGTAGATAGTTTTAGTTCCTCAGATATATGGGAATATCATGAAGAGGGGATATAGTGTTGGGTGACTAGTAATTGTCTTCCTTGTAGGATTTAATGAGAAATGATCTTTCAATTAAGAAAAGTAAATTAGATTTGAGTCTGTCTAGTTCAATTTAATTTCTTCTGACTTAACTGTTCATGTTAGTAATAAAGAGCAGATTTTTTTTTCAGTTGTAAAATACCTAAAGTTGCATTAGCAAATGAATATCACTTTATTACCACAGCTCTTGTTTCAATGACAGCTTTAATTTTTTAAGAAGTCCCCTTTCTTTTTAATTGCAATGACCAAATTGAATGCTCTGTCATCTAAAGTGGTGTATGGCTGACAATATAAAATAGTCCTCCTGTAGCTTTTAACCATGGCAGGTGGCAGTGCTCTTACAGGGATTTATATTGTAACTGTTCTAGACCTGGCAGCTAACTAAACCTCCAGTGTCTGAACTTGGAAAGGTATTTCCAAGTTTCCAAGGATTTTCTGTTATAATGGTACTCATCTATTTTAAGTGAGGTTCCAAACAATTTGCCCCTTGCATCCAGGCTTCAGCCTTTAGTTTCCTTCATAAAACATACAGGAATGTTTTTTAGTTTCCTGCATAAAACATACCACAGTAATGAAATTGGTGTCACTCTGATTGCCGTGCTGGATTCTGAGGCTGCATCTACCCTGCTCAGCTGAACTTTAGTCAGCTAAAGCCCACTGGCTGTTCCACAGTCACAGCTGTTTGCATCCTTTCTGAAGCAGCTCTGCCCAGTCCACCTGCCGTTCTGCCAAGCAATGGTCAGGCACAAGGTGAGGGACTGATCTCCATCAGTGGTTTGGATACAGCTGTGCTGTTTTGAAGGCTGAGAGCATTCAGTTCTACGGATGTGAGCTGCTTTACAGGACAGAACAGTTCTTGGTTAGGTTCTTAGTAGTACAGACAAAGCCAGTGTCTGGCAAACAGAATTGCCATCTTAGATCACTTTCTAGTTTTGGTGCTGCTGAGTGGGAGCAGCATCTTCCCCAAAGCTGTGCATCTTGGTCTGCTCAGATAACAGTAGAATTTCTTTGCTTAGGGACACTTAAAGGTTGCATTCATCTTTGCAGCAGCAGCAGTGAGTGGTGACTCTGGAAAAGAATAATATTTTTCTGCTGAAGATGGTGATCTTCAGAGATAACCTGTACTTCAGAAGGTTTCTTTTTCCACTGAATGCTTGAAAAAACACAATCATAGCAGTTCTCTCTCCTGCAGTGAAAATTAATTAGCAGGGAATGTGACAGGCTAAAGGCAGCAGTTGTTAAGTATTTGCCATGCAGTTAAAACAAACAAATAGTCTGCTAATTCCTTTCTTCTATGCTGCTGGGCACGAGGGAATTAATTCATTTAAAATCCCAGTTTATCTAATCTGGGAACAGGCACAGTAATAGGAATTAATCATAACTTCACCAGTCACA